GCGAGGGCGTACAACGTGATGGCGGTGACAGAGGGGGGGGTGGAGTCGGGGGGGGGGGGGGGGGGGGGGGAGGTGATGGGGGGGGGGCTGGGGGGGGGGGGGGGGGGGGCGAGGGGGGGGGGGGGGAGGGGGGGGGTATAGGTGGAGGGAGCGGGTGCGGTGGCGACAGGGTTGAGGAGTGTATGGACAACGATGTCTTTCCCTGTGGTCGCATCGTTTTGAAGCGGTTGAGACACGGGGGTAGACGAGATGACAGTATTGCGTCTCGTGTGCGCAGATGTCGTGTCCCCATTGCGACCAAGACGGGGCCACGTGTCATACGGCACGACCCGGTTGTCGTGTCAGAGGACGACATGGGAGATCCTTCGAACGAGATCCGTGGTCCCTATAATGTCCACTCTGGCGACAGGCTGACTGCGGAGTGAAGCTTCGGTCACGTAGAGGCGCAAGCCTCGCCCGCAGCGGCAATGGTGACGGAGGAGGATACTGGAGTCAGGATCACTCGTCCTCGGTCACCGGCGCCGGTTGTTGTTGGCACTGAGGAGGAGACGGAGTTTCATCGCCCGCCTCCTCCCGCCGATATTTTCACGGGCGCCCACGGGGCGCCCAGCGCCTCGGTCCCCTCCTCAGGAGCGGGTTTGGAGGACGGCGAGGCACCATCTGAGCCACCTCCTCCCACAACCGACGGTGGTCTAGAGGATGGAGAGGTTGCACCCACTCCCACTTGTCCACATGACGGGGAGGACGACGTCCTCCGACGGGCCACCATATTGGCCTCGACTGTCCGGCCGACAGTCTTCCGCTCACAGATGAGTTACTGAACATGGATTCCGCCCTAGCATTTCTGCCCGAGATGTTGCTTTTGATATCTCCCACTTTGGCAGTTGTGGCACCACCAGACCCTGCTCGGCCAGATGACACGCATCACGACAGAGGACTTGACGAGTTTGGCGGCGACACGATAGAGCATCCTCCAGAGTCCGACATTCCGTCCATTTTTCGTATGGGTGCACCGTGGGCGGTGGAGCAGGGGTTGGCGGAGGAGGTGGCACGGAACCGTCGTGGTGGGCCACCCGTCGCAGTGCAACGCAGTCTGGGAGGTTCACTAGAGGCAGCGTCTGCAGATCACGTGGCGCATGGGGGTCATGGTTCACAACAGTTATCGGACGACGTGTCATCAGTCCATCCACCGGACGAGGGAGAGAGCCACACCGAGACCCGACGGAGACGTTAGAGGTGAGGGTTCCCGGGGGGCAGGATACGGCGCACCCAGGCGAGGGCGTGGTGCAGGATACGGCGCACCCAGGGAGCACGGGTGTTGGACGGTCCATTGGGGGGGGCATTGAGCACAAAGGCCCATCGACCTCACACCCCAGCATTATCAGGCCCAACGCACATGACGTCGGAGACGGGCACGCAGATGACCCTCAACCGCATCTGACGGGGTTGCGTCCACCACCCTTGCGCCCCCCTGCTGCCGACCCCGCCGCCCACGGGTTGGCCGTGCAGAGCACATTGCCGACGAGGTCTTTCTACGACGGTGCGAGCATGGACCGGAGGGCGGGCGATATGGGACAGACATCAGCATGTGGACTGGCGGATGTGCCCCCGGGGGCGCGATCAATTGGCAACGTCGATGGCAGTTGTCACGATTCCATGAGAGCTTACGAGGTGCAGCATGGGAGGCCTATACGGGCCAAGACAACGGATGTCCACGATACCCAGACGGCAACTGCAAGGCTATCACGGGTGAGGACGAAGGGAGCAGGTGCGTCGATTCCGAATCATCGGCGCCGCCCGCAACCTTTTTTTCGCAACAGGGACGTGACCAGGCAGATGCCGTCTGCTGCAGATGGACAGGGTGGGGCGGACGGAGGTGACAGCGTGGACCAATCAGGGCGAGGCGAGAAGAGACGAGGCGGCATGATCATCATCCGCGACAACAGTTCCACAACCGCTGAGGGCGGTGAGAGCACAGGCGCCGATAATCCTGATGACTCTGATTACGTTCCGAGGTTCCGGACGGCAGACGAAGATGACGGGGGAGGTCGTCGCGTGAGGATGAGGACAGGACCTGGCCCGCAAGGGCATTACATCGGCGAGTGATCAGTCACCGTATCCTCTTGCGCATTTTGCCAAGAGCGGCCTGTTTTCGGAGTGCTTCTCGCTCGCTCGGTGCAGGTGCACGAGGGAAGTGAGTGATCGGGACGCGCGCAGTGCACACAGCGGCCCAAGAAAGCGAGAAAACAATCGGCGCGCGTGAGAGAAAGCGGGGTGGTTGACGTCAAACGGCGGAGCGACGACGCGCGTGTCGTGCCAGCTTATGGCATTCCGCAGGGGAATGCGAGGCAAAGGGGGTATGGTTCATGCGAGGCATGGTTGAGCTCCAAGGTTGACGGCAATCCCTGTGTACCGATCTTCATCCAGAGCGCCACGAAAAGGGAGGTAATAAAGGGAGATGTGAGTATACGGAGGATAAGGGTAGGTGTGTCTTCTTTTGCTGACGACAACGGCTCCGAAGGGATTTCAACATCCGACTAGAGAAACTTCAGGGTGAGCGTCAACTGTCTACGAGCAAATGGGGTTTTGAGATGAGCTAGATCAGCGAAGGGGAGGGGTCTCTTGCTTCGGAGGAGGGTTTCACTTTCCGTTTGGCAAGCATGGACAACCACCTGCTATGTCACCTTCACGCGACTTTCAGCCTGAAAAGGGGATGACAATCAAGGGTCATCTGCGCGTTTTTCTCTATAACTGTCTCAGCCAAGATTTCAGATAAGATGCTGACTCTTGCAAGATACAATCCCCTTTTGTTTCAACTAGTTTCAACCTCCCTTCAGTTCGGAGAATCAGTGCGACTGACCGTCAATTGTTGATCATGCCGCACAGTGATGAAGAAATAAGCTTCGGTAGATTGTGTAAACGGACGAACAAGGGAGTAGCCCCAGTTTGTAACAACGATTCAAAAACGTCTGTCTCTGAAGTAACCCAACATACGCAGGGGTTGGTTTGAGATGTTAGTGAAGTTGGAGTTGAATATTTTTTGTTTTAGCAGGACCAGTGTCGGGACTGGTGGGTCCCGAATAACTTCCCGGCACTCGAGAGATTGAATACGGACAACTTGTGCACAACAAAGAAATCTGGAGTGAGGAAGCAGGAGAGAGAAAAGACAAAGGATTAGGTCGCAGAAGGGAGTGATGCCCTGAGGAGAGAACCACAGGAGGAAAGAACTAGCGGCGGCAAGCAAGCAAGCGCAAGAACAGGGGCACACAGAACATAGCAGGAGGCCGGGAGGGCCATCGAAATGCAATAAGACTAAGGCCAAAAGGCCCTTTGAACTAGCAATTGCAGCACGACAGCAATAAGGGAATGAGGAAGTCGAGGAATGGGCGGCCAAAAACCGCGGGAAGCCAGGAAATGTGGGCCAACACGGAGGCCACCTACGGGAGCCTCGGAGCGGAGGCCCACGACCAAAGAGATCGGCACGCACAAGGCGCGAGGAAAGACTAAGGAGAGGGGTCGCTGTGGGGCGACAAGACGCCCAAGGAGTATGGGACACCTTAGGGAAAGGCACCCGGGGCCACGTGGGACTAAGTAAAAATAATGGCGTACGGGGCGAAATGTGTCGGGGCCCGCCGACGGGACTAATGTGTCGGGGACCGCCGACGGGACTAAGTGTCGGGGACCACCGACGGGACTAAGTGTCGGGGGCCGCCGACGGGACTAAGTGTCGGGGACCACGAACGGGATAAGTAGCGGGGACATGTAAAAGTCCCAAGAAGAAACGGCGGCACCGCATGAGGGGAAAATAATAAATGCAAGGGGCACCGTCAAGATCGATATCTTGACGACCAAAAATATTAGCACCACTAGTGCAAGTACTAGTGGTGACAAACGGGAAGGTCAAAAGGAAAAGGAAAAGTAAAGAAAACTGAAGTGGGAGGCATGGGAGCAATCCGAAAAATCTCGGATCAGCCTCCCTCAAGAAAATAGAGTCAAGTGAGACCCCATGTGAAAAATAGCCCTCCGGGAAAAAATCGGAGTAGGAGGGACCATTGGGGGAAAAGTATAGGAGTAAGAGGAGGCTCCCATGGGCATGGGAAGGCCATTATTGCAGTCCGAGAATTAAAGGACTGCACCTTGGGCATAGGGAGGGCCAAAACTAAGAGGAAGAGGCTAGAAAATGGCCTAAACGGCCACTTCACACTTGGCATGCTAGAAAAAAAAAAGAAAAGAAAAGAAAGTGGGGGAGAATAAGACCTGTCTCTTATACACATCTAGATGTGTATAAGAGACAGGCCATAGGTAGGGACTGACAGGTCCCTACTGTCCAAGAAAGGAGGAGAAAGAGAAAATAAAAGAAAAGAAAAGAAAAGAAAAGAAAAGAAAAGAGAAAAATGTCTTAACGGTAAAAAACGGTCACTTGGGGAGATTCATCTGTAACCAGATTCATTCTGGAATATGGCGGTTACAAAGGACTTTGATTTTCTYTGATTTTTACAGAGAAAATCAAAGAAAATCAAGGCCTCTTGCAACCGGAATAAAACGGAATGCATGCATGAGAAGAAACACATGTTTTAGGTGCATCCGGAGTCAAAATCAAGTCCGGATGCACTTGGGAGTTGGCCGTTTCTTTTTCTTTTGAGTGAGGGCTAGTTGTGGGGCATTGGGGCTAAGGAATTGACCCCCATTGCAGTCCGAGTTACAATAGACTGCATGGGGGAAGGAAAACACATGTTCTAGGTACATCCGGAGCCAATATTGAGCCCGGATGCACTAGAAAATTTAACGCTTCATTTTCTTTCAACATGGGGCAAGTTGTGGGGTTGTGGGTATGGAAAACAGCCATGACTGCAGTCCGAGAAATTACAGACTGCATGAGGATGCCAAGGTCAAAGGGAAATGGGCTACGGCAAGCCCAAAAAGGCTAGAAAGAAGCAATCTCGGCAAGGGGGCAAGTAAAGACGGTAAACGACGACCGTAAAATGGGATCTTCCGACCTAGAAAAATCGGCACACATGTAGAAATGATGGGACCACCAAGGGTAATAGGTCCCAAAAAAATAAAAATGGGACTCCGTCCGGAATGTTGTCGGGGACCAAATGAGTCAAAATAATAAAAATCGGAAAAACGGGACATGCGCAGGGGGGACCGCCAGCGGGACAAGAACATGGGACTAGTATGAAGGAGAATGGCGGGGACTTGGGATGTCCCAAGGGAACCATGAGCAACCATAAGGATAATTGTGCAAGCAAGCGGCGCCGTCGAGATCGAGGATCTAGACGGTGGAAAATATTAGCACCAATAGTGCAAGCACTAATGGGAGCAAGTGGGAGAGCCATGAGAGAAAGAAAAATGAAATAAGGGTGTTGGGAAGGCTGGCCAGCAGCCCGGGATATCTCGGACTAGCAAGGCATAAGAAAATAGAGCCTTGAGAGGCCCAACATCAGAAAAGGTTGCCCTTAGAAAATCGGAGCAAAAGGGGCTCAGAATTGGGCAAACGGGAACAAAATATAGTCCCCTAGGAGCATGGGGGTGCCATTATTGGAATCCGAGATGTAACGGCCATGTAACATCCATGAATCTGGCCTTGAATGAGGCCCTAGGGTTCTAGAAAGAGGGTGCACAGCAGTTTGACACTTGTCAAAACAGAAATAAAAGAAAAAGAAAGAAAAATGAGACAAAAAGGAGGGAGAATGAGACAAAGAGGAAGAAAAGAGTGGAGGAGAATGTGCCGGCCTATTGGGACCTGCACAGTAGGGACTGGCAGGTCCCAACAGTGACCTCATCCCACCTAGAATGAGGGAGGACAATCCGGATTGCAGACTCAATAAATCTGAGTTAAGCAGCTGAAAATGAGAAAAAATGCAAAAAGGAAGTGGCCGGTTTTCTTCTGGACCATGGATCTGGGATTAGATCTCATGGTAGAGAGGAACTAGCCGTTTTTTGTGGGCCAACTCAAAACGGCTAGCTCCGAAATGAGGTGGCAGCCCAAAATGGAAAGAAATAAAAGAGGGAAAATGGCAAAACAATGCATTTGGCCAAGAAAGAGGGCCAGATGCACCAAAAATTGAAAAAATGAACTTGGGGGCTCAAAATTGAAGCAAGGGCTACTAGGGGGTAGCTCGGATTACTGTTGGCCTTGGATCTCAGCCAGATCCAAGGCTGAAAATGTGCCGCCATATGGAAAAATGCTCCGGCCTATTCAAAAGAGGCTGAAACTTGAAAAAATCGAGAAAAAGGCCCACAAGGCCTTTTTCTTTCAAGTATTGCTGCCCCTTGGGCATTAGGACCCTTGGGGGCAGCATTTGAGCAATGAAAAAGAGGCCGGAGTAGGCCAAGAGGCAGTCCGAGTTGGTACCAACCACTTGGACTGCATGTACTTAGCCGAAATAAGGCCCAGGTACCTCCAGAAGGGCCTAGTAAGATAATTTTGCCTTGGGGGTACCTCGGTTCACTCCAAGGCTGATAGGGAGGCTCATGGGCTGGCCGGACTGCTGGTTTCAGCCTACTTAAGCTGAGGATGCAGTCTGCCACTCTCACATTTGCATGAGGAGTGCCCATGCTGCCCAAGTGAGCTCACAGGAACACCTTTGCACTTGGAGTGAGGAGGGAGGAACCAATGCTAGTGGGAGAGCTTAGAGGAGACTAGGAGGTAGTGGGGAAGACTCTAGAGGATAGTCATGGTGGGAGAGACACTTGGGAGGTGATCCGCCATATCCCCCCTGGGTGTAGGAGAGAAGGAGAGGCTAGAGGAGCCCCATTAAGCCCTCCTACAGGACAGGACTCCACAACCATAACTGAGGGAGCTTGCCATAGCTTGGGGAAGAGTAAGAAAGAAGGAAGAAGTACTTGGAGAAGGAGGGAGCCATAACCAAGGAGGAATTGAGCAAGGCCTCATCAAGATTGAAGCCTCCATCTACAAGACACTAGCAAGGTGAGTGGAAGGAAGAACATCTCTCCTCTTCTTCTTCTTCTTTTTCTTCTTCTTCCTCGTCTTCTTCCTCCTCCTCTTCCTTTTCTTCTCCCCCTTCTTCTTCACCTTTTTTTTCTTCCTCTTCTCCTTCAACTTCTTCATCTTCCCTACCTCATCTACTCCATCCTCTTCCTTATTCTTCTTCTTCTTCTTCTTCTTATTCTTCTTCTTCT